ACTACACATTAAAGCGAATTAAACTTAACTAAATTGATCTTAGCACTAACACAGATACTATAGACAAATACACATTAATTTAAGAATAAAATAATTTATATAGATGTGCTTAAGCATTGAAAGAGAAACATAAGTGGGATGTGAAAGATGATAGAGGAAATAGAGATGTATAGAATTCGTACTCATTGCGACGATTGAAAGTAATTATGTATTATGGCCTTGTAGTTACCTCTACTCAAAGCAGACTTAACAGATTCTGGAATTCTATTCCAAAGTCTCACAGCGTTGATGAAAAACAATCTCGACGTTGTCAATAAAGTATACTTCGGAACGATCAGATTGTGACATCTGCTAGATTTTGTCAATTTAAGTTTTTCATACAAGTACATTGGTGACTTCCATTCTAAAAGCTTAAAAATAAATATGCAGCTCCTAGCAGCAATATAATCTGTGATACTGCACCCCAAAATTTTATTTTTTCACAGAGATATGTGGCTGAACTTCTTCACACCATACACATAGCGCGTAACATTGTTAAATAAAACATTGATTTTGTGAGAGGAAAGTGAATCAAACTTACTATATACGAGCTCATAATACATTATATGGGGTATAATGAGTTGTCTTGCCAACTTGCGTCTTGTTTCCATTGGAGTAAATCCAGCTGAAACTCTCAATCTTCGTAAGATGGCATAGACATTGCTCGCAATACTATTAACATGATCGGAACACGTTAGTTTACAGTTTATTATATAGACCAAGTTTTTAATCTTGTCTATAAACTTAAGAGCACTACTACCAATAACAAATTTCGGGATATCCTCAACATATACTACACGGTTACATATTGGCAACACAAAGGACTTAGAGGCATTTAAACACAGACAGTTACTACTAGCCTACTGCGATATTGCAGACAAATCATTATTAAGTTTAAAACACAAATCTTCGACTAGACCAATACGACTGGACAAGTACACTCAAGTAGCACACTGGTGTATAAATTGGTGTAAATTTATGGATTTTGGTACAAATCTGATTAGATTGAATAAAAAAAGAACGTTTTGGTGTATTTGTTATTCCACCAGTATTTCTTTCAAATCAAAATTCTACCTTTAACATTTTGGTACTATTTATTCATTGAGATAAGTACGAAAACTACACCAGCTCCTAAAATGCGCCACTTTTTCATTTGGTTCACAAATAGCTCCACGTTAACAAATGTCATTAAAATTATTCAGGCGACATTCTGAGTAGTGATGTGCTGAATTCTCGGTACCCAATACTTGAAACAAATTTCGGTACCCAATACTTCCTTTTCGGTACCTTTCGTCATTATATCTGTGCCGTTCAATTAAAGTAGCTTAAGTCACTTTAGATGGTTTGACTTTGAATAAAAAAAAAAAATCAGTTTCCTTTGAAATTGTTTTATATTTTAATTAAGATTCTATTATAGGGGCATCTTGAACTACATCTTTGGCTAGTTAAACGTTAAAATATTGTTTGGGAATCCAATGAAATACGACATAGGCTACTTTTGGGGGTAAAAATTATTGATATTTTATAAGACATCGCCTAAAAACCCAAAATGTACAAATAAGACGGTCCTTTCTCAAGAGATGAGCAATGTGTTTGTATGTATGTAGTTAAGTGAAGCAAGCATAATGTGTGCGGCGAACAAGGCAGGCAATAAAATCTGCACAATAATGATCAATTCGAATTTAGTAAGGTGGTGTTAGCCGTATATAAGTAAAAAATTACACTAACAAATTATACGCAGATATTCATACTGTCATTAGTATTAACTACAACAAACACGTAATTTTGATGTAATGTCCTCCACGGCGAAAAATTCAGATACGCCGGTAACACCACCTTATTAAATTCGCCCTGATACTGATGTCGCAAAACACACTCTCGCCTTC